AGTGCTGAGAGTGGTGATACTGGGAGGGTGATGGGAGGGTAGAGTGGAAAGGGGGAACCAATTACAAGGATCTACATATAACCTCCTCCCTGGGGGATGGACAACAGAAATGTGGGTGAAGGGAGACATCAGACAATGTAAGATACGACAAAATAATAATTTATAAATTATCAAGGGTTCATGGGAGGGCGGTGAGCAGGGATGGAGGGGGGAAAATGATCTGATGCCAAGGGCTTGGGTGGAGAGCTAATGTTTTGAGAATGATGAGGGCAATGAATGTACAGATGTGCTTGACACAATTGATATATGTATGGATTGTGATGAGTTGTATGAGCTCCCAATAAAATGATTTTAAAAAATCAACCTGGATAATAACAAGAGTTATGCTGTATTCACACATGGGATGATTTTATATCAGCTGATATCCTTAATATGTTCAAATTAAAATGTATTTTAAAAAACAAAGTAAAAATACAGGCACAGACTGTAAAAACACAATTGAATTTAGGATAACTCATAAACTATTGTGACTCACAACATCTAAAAAATCCTAGAAATGAAAAGAAATACAAACAGCCCAATGAAACAAATGGAAAAAGGAGAGATAAGGAATAACTAAAAAATACATAAAGATCTTTTTTCAGCTCACTAACAAATGGGAAATGGTAATTAACATAACTAATACATTTGAAAATTAATATCCCATTTCAAACCAATCAGATAAGCATTTTTTTAAAAACAAATCAAGTAATATAAGTATAATTAAGAACAAGAATAAAGAGTAAGTCTCAATTCGGTGGAAATTAAAATGAGTAAAATTACATTGAAAAGTTAAAGAGCCATTTGCTAATAAGGTATTCTTTATACTGGGTTCTTTGGAGAAGAAAAACTAGTGATGCATATATGTGTATATGAAGAAATAAATTTATACCAAGAAAGTGGCTCACACAGTGATAGAAGCAAGTAAGTCCAGCCCAGGGCAAGTCTATAGTTCACATGTTAAGCTGAAGACTTTTTCCAGTCTCTTATAGCTGCTAGGGCTGACAAACCTGGAATCAAGAAGATGAACCTGGAAGTAAGAACTTCACAGTCAGTTGAATCCATGGTCAGCATGTCGGGACTGTAGCATCAAATTAATCCAAAGTTAGCAGGCAGTATGTCAGGTAACTGATAGCTCCCAGGGCCAACAGGCAATATGGCAAACCATTGGCTCAAGTCCAAAGAACTAGAAGGTGGTGAGACAGATGCAGAATCCAGGTCAGGAAGCCTTCCCATGGAGTCTGTTTAAATAGGAGTAAGCCATATTCCAAAAGAAAATTTGCCTTTAAATTGCAGGAGAGTGGTGACCTGAAAAAGAAGGCTGCATTTTTCTCTAATCCACTTACAACCTCTTTGTTGTGCACAACAGATTCCATCATGAAATTGTTTGCATTAGGTTGGATCCATCAGCTGCCAAACTACGGAGAATCCTAGCCCAACCAAGTTGACACAAAATCTATCACTAATTAAAGTTCATGATATGCATGACAAAACTAAGCAATTCACATATGCTCTAGAAGCTATGGCATACATCTACTAAAAACATTGAAAAATTATCTGCAACCAAAACATCTATTAGTAGGAGAATGGATAAATAAGTATTTACAAAATAACATAAAGCATTTAAAAATAAATGAGCTACAGTTCCATATAGCAACTTGTGCAATTTTAAAAAATATAGTATTAAGTTAAACGAGTTGAAGAATGCAACCAGTTTGAACTGGTTTTAAAACCAGTGTTTTTTAAAAAGTATTTTAAATGTCTAAAAACAATATTGCATTTGTTCATGTGCATGTGGGGGTGGGGGATGGGGGGCTTGCTGTCCTCAAGTTGAATCTGATTCACAGTGACCATACAGAGCAGGGCAGAATTACCCCTGTGAGTTTCCTCTTGGAAACTCTATAACTCTTTACAGGAATAGAAAGCCTGGCTTTCTCTCATGGAGCTGTTGGTGGTTCAAACTGCTCACCTTGCAGCTAGCAGCCCAACACATACCCACTATGTCACCAGGATATGTATGTGATGGAGTATCCCAAAAAAAACCCAGAAAAATGCTCCA